GTGCCAATTCACGACCTTCAATTTTCAAATACAAATGTGCCAACTACAAAACAAATATTCGTAGTTCTCCCTGCGCGTATACATTTTTGATTGGAAAAGTTTTACTGCTGCTGCTATAATGATCTTATTACATTTTCTTAATTTTGAACCGCTTTCAGATAAGAACGGTTTATATCCAATATTATTTTATAAATTAACACAAATGTTTTACAGTTTTTAACTTATTATTACAGTCAAACTTGTCATCCCCATATTTCTATTATCAACATAAGTTAATCAAAGAAAATAAAAGCAGAATTTAAATTGAATTCATTGACGTAAAAGCCTTTCCTTTTATAATATCAATTCCAATAGTTGTTTTTTTCGCAAATGAAAATTTTGAGTAAGATTTTTTTGTATGAGTATTTTTTATGTGTTTTGGATCATTCGATTGTGACATCATCGTTGTCTTTCTCTTATTATTTATCCCTAATGTTTTGTAAAGACTGTCAACTTTCCTAATGTTTTCTGTATTGTATTACAACTACATATTAAAGTTGGTAAAATACGCCTCCCATTTAAGTATTATCACAAAAAAATGAAGATAATAAAGATGTTACTTTCAAAAAAGAAGTGAATATGCACGACTAAAGCATGACTATACTCCCTAAGTAAAGCATCCTGCGACTTCCTTGAATTCTCCGTGATATTTCAGAAACTAAACAATAAATGACCGCACTCATTTTTATTACTTGTGAAAGTGAGTTAGGTAGTCTCATTGGTAAAGTAAAAAAATTATTATCCCGAGTAGAAAGAATGCCACACAGCATACAGTAGAAAAATATGTGTCCATTAGGGCATGGCTGGACGCATCCCTTTTTATGTTCAACTAGTTCTAAAGTAATGATAGCACTTTCCTTTTGAGCTACCTTCTAGGAAAAAACATCCTGCCCCGACCTTTGCTTCTAACACAACCAGCAACGTAATAAAGTCAGGTCCACGACTGTCAATAGCACGAAATCATTTTGGATTTCATTAACGATCGGAATACGAGCTTTTGGAAAGCCTTTCGCTTTTCAAACAGAAAAGTTAATAAAGTGTTAAGTCACGTCAAACGGAATTCAATCAAGATCCTTCTTCTTTATCGCGTAGTAATTCAATTTTAATTTATTCTTAAACTTATAAAAACATGAAAAATCATCAAGTACGCGATTCAAAATTTATAACGGCTCTTGCATCATTAAGTTATGGTCTCTTCACTGTAACTTTCTCTCAATTTGCTACTCAACTTGTTACTAACAACATTGAACATGAAACTCAATTACTAAGTTATTAAATATCTACTTCCACAATCATTAACATCTTCTGTAAGTAACAGAATCTATTTATTGTTCAACCTAATTTACCTACTTTGTCCAAATGTCAAAAATAACAAACAAAACTCAAAGTAGCTGAGTTGATAAATTAGTGCTAAAATTGGAGTTTATCAAAAAAGAAGTTACACTACTAGAGGGTTGAGAGACGAACAAAGTGATTTTCTATTACATGCAATCACTAACATTCGTCATCATTTTTTGTAAAAAACGACGTGATACAGGAAAATTCTTAGAAATATTACCTTCACCCTTATTTTCTTATAAACAATTAAGTAAAGTAATTGCAATAAATGCTGTTTTTGAGGGGTTTTATGCTGTATTCAGTAGATTGTGAGAGTTCCGATAGTTTGAGACAAGGAGATATTTTCTGATAGGAATGATTAAAAAAATATGTTCCACCAAGTCATGCATTTTTAGTTAAGATTATTTGATTAGTATAAACGTGACTGTTTCTGATTTAAAAGTTAATTATTCGAATTTTGACTACACCCTAAACTAGTAGATACAAATGAGAAATTACGTATAAAAACAATTTCCATGAAATTAAAAATTGTTTATAAAATACGCGATTAACCACTTTGTTAGTATTGTAGCATTCTAAATTGAAAAACTGTTTGTACACCAACTTTTTCAATTACTACATGCAAAATACAAAAATGGACCATTCTTCCCCTTGTAAGTAAAAATTCCTGTTTTATTATTTGTTTTACAGCTGATTGACGTATGGATTACGATCCTTCATTTATATTTCAAAAAGACAGTAATTTTGAAAACAAAATTAATTTTGTAAACTGAATGTTGTGTAGAATTAATAGTACTATGACTAATTTACGGTGCGCAATTTGAAATAAGTCCACAGGGTGCCAGAAACACACGCGACATGGGTTATTTACGAGACCAATGGTGAAATGCCGCGGCCCAACCGGTGGAAAACTAAATTTACGGACTTCCCGGAAAACTGTTTTATATAAACCAACTGCCTGACAGAGACATTGAGTTCATGCAGATTATACTATCTAAATTAAAAAAAAAAAGGCGAGGGGCAAAGATGCCAAAATTAAAACAAAACACAATGAGAAGTTTAAAAACCATTCTTTCGTTAATTTTGTTTATAGCAGGTAACACTCGTATCTCATAGGGATTAGACATCTTAACTTCCTTATTAATTACAATTAAACTATACTGACAAAATTTATAATAATCAATTCTTGTGTTGATTATATTTTGGTAAAAATACCAAACTCATTATATTGAGTTTGAGTTTATGTATGATTTAGAGCCCATGTAAGAACCATTAAATTTGCCATTAGATGATGGCTGTTATGGATGGTTAATCTTCTAAACTAACGTTTTAATGCCGAAAATAGAACATTGATGAGGATACAAAAATTGTCAGCAATTATCTAAAAATTAATTTTGGTGGAGGCGTCGGGACAATTTAAAATAAAATATTGTAATTGAGCAACAATTTGGGTTTCATTAAGTAGAATAATGAATTTACATCTTCAACTCCTATTTTGAGTTGCAGCTAGAGATGCTAATTTGTATCTGTCTTTTAAAATTAATAAAAAATTAATTAGACTAAAATGTTTTGCATTGAAAATGCTCACAAGTGACCGCGTTTTTTAAAATTGTTATGGTTGAATTCGGGGTAAGTCTTTTCTTGTTTTTGTTAAAACTAAATCTTACTAGTTTAATATGTTGAGTGTTTGTAGGGCTTTGTTGGCATACAAAAAGGATCACATTTGATATTCGTTCGTACATCATTGTCCTCACAACGAAAACAACATGCTTTGAATTGGAAATTCAACACAAAGGTTTATTTACAGTTTAAATATTAAATTCATTCAGCGAACAACATGTGCTTCATTACTTTACTGTTATCGATCGATAGGTTTTAACAACTTTTGAAATATTACATTTGTTGAAGAACATTGGAGGCAAAAAATATTTTCCTGAAATAAAAAAATGGATTGCAATTTAAGGGGAAAGACAATTTTTATGAAAGCAAACTTTTTTGTCTCCAGAATGAGATGAAAAGTCGTATATACGATTTGTCAAACGCCCTTATTTTAAGTTCGTTAAAGAGTTTGAAATGGATCTTAACGAATTCGCTACGGGATATTAGATGTGAAATGTTGACGTGACAAATTATGTAACTGACAAAATAAAATTAAAGTCCAAGATAAAATGACATTAATTTATATATTGAGCAATTAAAAACGCGAACTTAATCACACAAAAAACCTGCGCCCTTTTTCATTAATATTATCAACATGATTTTTTCATTGTAATAAACATATAATCATCATTTTGTAACAAAGTATCCTTAACTATCTGCGAAAAGTAATCTAATCTAGGTCTACCTCTACCCCTCCTAATTGCTAATCTACTGTATTTAAATTATCTATAGATTTGTTTGTTATAGTTATACTACTCATTAAACGCAGGAGTCGTGTCCAAATCCTTGCACGAAGATATTCTCTACTTGCGAAGCAATTTCACTGAAGAGCCACAATATAGTATCATAGATCCCGACACAACTTCAGAAAGTAAGTCACGCATGAACAATGCCCAAATTTCCTTCAAAGGTTCACTTCTTATCAAACTTAACTTTACAATTGCTTTGGTCTACTAGTTATTATCACTAGTGAAACCTCAAGAATCAACAGTTGCATTTTTTCTGACAATTTAACAAATTAGACGGATTACCTACAATAAATACAACGAACTTATCTTTCTGTGTTTCAGCCTCTTTGGTGTTTTCGTTCGTCATATTGACCGTAACTTCCTGCGGAATCGTCGCATCCCTGATACTGTTTTACGGCCTTTATAAGGTAAGCAATATTTTAAAATGCATATGCCGCATTTCGACTTTTTGTTGAGACAATCGCGTTGGCTCATATATCTACTACTAAAGTTTCTACTTTGTCGAAGAAAATTTTATTGGCTTTTGTATATGGTCGTGACATACATAACACGGCATCCCCAAGTCGTAAATAACAGTTTCCAGCAACTCGTAACCGTATTGATCTCGAAAAGTAATTCTCTAAATTAAAGATGATTTACACAAGTTGCGTCACGCGGCCGGTTTCAGGCACTAACCATTATTAATGAAATTTCCTTAATGTGAAAACCCGATACCAATAGCTAAATAAGAAGAGCAACTTTTGTATAAACCCACTTCGTTAAAACAAAGAACTCTTTATTTATTATTTACTCATTTACTGAATGGTAAGAAAATTTCGTACTTGATCATAGATTCTTCTTCTGTTCAAAGCTTCGTCAATATTGGGATTCGATTACATCCATCTTTTATTGTCAAGTACAAACAAACCACTTTATTGTGAAATATAGACTACGATTATAGGTGATCAAAATCACAAGTTTAAAACGAGACAGGAAAAATCAATCCGATAAAATTCTTTCTGTTTCCTAATTTGTTTTTACCAAAATTTCCTTATTTTCCCGGATATTCTCATAGCGAACAAGGACGTTTAAATAAAAAAAAAAACATTTGGTGTAAATAAGAAAATCCTTTTCTTTTCGTTACTTAAATCACAAATATTTAAAGACATTTTCAAAGTGCAAATAATATTAAAACAACAAGAATCCATTTGACAAAAAAATTAAATAAAAATCCCCCTTTCCCTAAGCTGTCTCTAAATTCCTTAAAGTAAAGTCAAATAACGCACAATGTCAGAAAAATCAACTTTTTGGTCACACCGCCAATTGGTTTCAAAATAACAAAAGTAAACCACTAAAAAGGACACAAAAGAATACACGTCAGAGAAAATGTGAATGGAAACACTTTTGCGATCTCTGTTCTACTCAATTTTCAGCCGTGATACTAACTTGATCAGTTTTTGCGTAATATAAAAATGACCTTAGTAGAAAACCAGGAGTAATGATTCAGTAATTTAATAACTCTGTGAAAGAGTTGTAACTGATGTAAAAACTGAGCCTCACTAAGCAAAGTTTGTTAGAGAGGGCTAACATTAACGGATTCTTAAGTGCGAAAAATCTCGGTATAGCCAGCAAAACTTCGTTTACGGAATATAATAAAAGGGAAAGTTCCATTAGAGTGAGCTTATTTAACGAGTGTCATAAAGTCCACCCTGAAAGGCTTATATTCATAACTTTTCCTTCCCCTGAGCGTTTTTCTTAATTGCATTTCTCCTTATTTTTCCAGGATAAACGCTACCTACTAATTCCATGGGTGGTCACATTGGCAGTTTGTATAGTAGCTGATCTTTCACAGTGCATATATTCATTTGTAAAATATACGGTAAGTCCCAAAAATCCCTTCTTATTTATATACAATGGGGTCAATCTGTGTTATCTACCCATTAGTTGATAATATACTTGAAAATTCGTTAAGCAACTAAATTCATCAACACAGGAAATAATAAGTTTTTGTTCGTGATGCCTATTGTTTGTAACGACATCGGATATAACGACGAAACTAATGTAGCCACAGCGACAGAATGTGGCGAAGTTTGTGAGTCAAATGTCTTATATAATGAGTCTCGGTGCGTAACAGCGCATAAAAAGCTGAGGAAGTATAATGTACAAAGTTAGCTAGGGTAATTCCCCGGTTATTTAATGAAAATGTAAAAGTATTTGGATATGGCCTACGATTATAAAAACTAAACTTCACCAGTCCTTTTAGCCTTGTTATAAACGATATTGTCTGTAAGTTTGAAGCACAGACTGTTATACGTACATACCACTCACAATCAATGCCAATTTCGGAAGTATAAAAGCATATTGAGTTGCCTGATATTACCGAATGCAGACTGGGAAATCAGTTTTCCCAAAGGATACCAAAGAAAATTGAATACTTAACTAACTCAAGGCTTGGTTACGCTACCGGACAAATGCCTCTCAATTTCAAATTCGTAAATATCCTTTAATGTGCAACGTGGATAATCAAATAATACTTTGAAATAAAAACAAAAATTTCCGCCGTGATAGGGCACATATTCTGTTGCTCCTTTCTCTGCTTTATCAGTATCTCTTGCAGGCATTGTGTGCTTGAAAACAACAGCGAAAATGCACATGTTTGTCTTGAGCAAAGAATTCATCGGTAAATTTCAAAAGAAGCACGTTTTAATTAAAACCTCTGTCAACAAAACTGAATGTTGAACAAACACGAGCTTGAAAATTTTGAAATATTTACGTGAAAAGGTTCGAGTTTTTGTAGGCGACCATTTTAAGAGTAACGAGGTCATGAGTAACTTCGAGATATCACAATGTCAATAACGACAAAGCCTAGTTAGCACCATTCCAATTCTGAGGTGACGATATTTCAAAATGCTTTTGTTTTTGTCCATTGCAACCCCACATTTCGTGACTTGTCATAGTCAGTTCTATTGTATTCTATGTTTAACTATTACAACAAAAACGTGAAAAATAAATAACTGAAATAAATTTCAGCAAGAAATAGTGGTGAAATATTTCAATTTAATGCCCGGTTAGAAATTCTATAAATTTATTCGGGACTCTCCATTGTTTCTCGCGGTCCCAATTTAATCCTAACGAAGGAACGGAACTCGTTCTCTCCATTTTTGCAAAAGACATTTTAACGTCATAAATTAAGATCCAGCGCTTTTTAGGAATGTTGAGAGTGTCATAAAGTCTACAGCACCTCAGGTTTGTCGTGAACGTTACAAACTTTTCTGAATTAATTGGCTTGCTGAAAACGTTCTATTGCTTTAAATAAATTTAATCGTGAATTGCAACGGCTTGGATATAAGCGGTCATAAATAAATTTTTAAATGGCCACTGAAACAGTTTCCTTTTAATTAAAATTAAAATTAAAATTTCGAATATCACTCAGCTCACAATGAATTATTTCTAAAACAGAAACCTTACACTCGATTGTTTATACACTTTTTTTGTTTTGTTTAACGTGATGCAGTGGATACTTTTCTTTATTGATTAAAATAAATTTCGCTTTGAAAGCTTCTAATTAAAACTTGAAGAATTCAACCCACACACATACACAAATACACACCCAACGTTACGTAAAATAAACCTTTAATTAATTCTAAACCGAGAGTTTTACCGTATGTTGTTGCTATAGGTACAAACGCGTTTTCTCGAAAAGCTAACTCATGAATTTTTGTATTGTTTTGAAAATGCTATCCCTAATCCTGTAAAACAATTCGTCAAGGCTACTTCACTAAAACAGAAGGGAAAAACTCGTTTATCATCATCATCACCGTTAGGTACTACATACAAACACATCAGTTGCTTTTCTGCAGGGAGTTCGCTTCACCTGGCTTCCTTTTCATACGTAAATTAATTTACCTTAGTCGATGGTGGATGTGGTGTTTCAAACACAAATGTATTTTCAAAATAAATATTTTTGGTATGTAAGGGATATAAGAATAGGATTAGAAAATACAGAAATAGGAAACGAAAAACTAAAAGAAATTTTATTTATGGAGCCAGATGGGTAACTCTAGGATGGAAAAAGCGCTAGAGATATAAAGCATGTTATAGACAAAGGTATTAAAAACAGAAACAAAAGCTAAGAGGGGTAGAGGTAGACCTAGATTAGATTACTGTACAAATAGTAAAAGATGTGGGATGTTCTAGTATTACGAAAATGCGAGGATTAGTTCAGGATTGAAAAGGGTGAAGGTCATGGGGCTGAAGGCCATGTGATTATGATGATGATGATGATGTTAACAATAGTTTACAAGAATTGTGAGAGGATTACATATTGTGGCCACTTTTTCTTCTTAAAAGATAACGATGAATCTAACACTAAGAAGCGTTTAATCATTAAGAAACTATAATAAAATAGTGTAGATGTAGTATACGTATTACCTTAAGATGTGGTATTAATGTTACTCATTTATAAATGACACCTTCTCTCTACCGAATCACATGGAACATAGAACAAATTGTTTAATGTCGCTCTTATTTTGTGAAGGCAAACAAGGAAGAGATGGGAACAAACAAATGCGAATAATTTCGTCAGTATTTTGCTAATTAAATTACATGATATTAGGTAATTTCACTTCCTTCCGTCCTGCTTATTCCTAGCATTGGTTCAAACAATGCCACCGTTTTAATTAATGCTCTATAATTAGCAATAGTGTAAACTAAAATTGTACAGAATGAAATTTAACATAAACGTTTCCTTTAAAAGCAAAGTGAAAGTAAATGCGCCTTCAACTTTATCATTAAATTTTGTATTTTATTGGCATTTACAAGATGAATGAATAACTTTATAATATTGCACGCCGATGTACATATGATATTAACTCAAAGTTCAAAATATTCACGAAAAATACGACAAACGTAAGTTATAATTTATCGATATTTCGTGCCTGTACATTCAATGACACATTATTATTCGCTCCTCTGATGATAATAACTGAATAATTATGTTAATTTCATTATGTAGTGGTCATAAATATGCAAAGATAGCCTAGCCCATCTGTGTCTCATACACTACATAACGCCTTCATAGAATTTTTGTTACTTTTTGGGATAAATGAATTGAAAAATGTAATATAATCACAATGTCAGCTGTCTACAAGTTTTCGTGATGACGATCTGAAAGGTTCAGGTACCTGGTATAACATCCTTAATGCAAACAAGAAGGATTGCCATTCTAAAATCCGACAAAGAGCTTTGTGTTGCTTTATGTAATATATTAAATTCCTAGAATATCTGCTATCGAATATATTATATCGCTAGGAATCAAAGCACCTATGACTACGACCCTTATACGGTGGATTAAGGATTAACTATCCTTGTTTTTTCGGTATACGAGAAATTTTTCTAAATCTTATGTAATATGCATGTTCATTACATTATATTTATTGTAATAAATTATATTTCTAAGTTAAAATAAAAAACGCCTTTGGCATATCATAATGGAGATGCATGAGGAGCATTTTTCATACATGATACGCTTGCTCAATGATTCAATCCTAATTATAAACAAATAATTTAGATGTAGGTCCTGTATAACTTTGTATTTAAAGCTTAATAAAGAATTTGACTAAAATCAACTTCAATTTTTGAAAAATATAACTGATCAGTTATTTACTATTTTAGCACTTAATTGATCGGAAAATTGCATAGAAAACAAATAAATGAACAGCATTAGTATAACTAATTCTAGATTTTCCTTTTATTTCGTTCAAGCCAAAGGTTAATAGCATTTTTTTTATCAATCAACTATAAGCTGTTTCTGATGTTGATTGATGTTAGCGCTGTAATTTTATTTGTGTTCCAATATATCTTTATTTTTCAAATGAAGAAATTTTCCCCAAGAGTAGATGTTAATCTACGTTTAATTGGAAACCATGGATCATTGAGAAAATATGCTTTCGGTAGGTATTATTAAATACGTGTGTACAGTGATTATTATTTTTATATCATAAGTTGTGTTTTTTTATACAATCTTGTATACAATTTTATATACACGAAAGTGTGAATATTAATAACATTTCTGCAACCTCCAGAAAGTTTGGTTGTGACTCTCATAATCCACCCTGATGAAACTTTAACATTATCAAGCGAAACGTTGGCATTAAAGCAATAAGAGGTTTCACCATTTGAGTCAGCTTGATTTATTTTCGTGAAATGTTGTTGCGAAATTATATCTAGCAAGTAATTATATAAAAAATCATGCAATTTTTCTCACAATTCACTAAATTAAAATATAATAAATGTACTAAGTTATGGTAAACAAATATATTATGGTTTTCGTTGCCTGCTTTCCTGATTAGATTAGATAAAGTTTCTTAATTGGCAAAGTTTTACCATTCTATTAAATCCAAACCAATTTTCAGTTGTTTACGTTATGTAGATTATTGGCGACACTAATTCTACTACGCTATTGTATGCAGTGTTTTCTAATAATAATTGTTGCTTTTCAATCAAAATTCTAATTGAACTTAGAACGAACACAACGAAAGATGTCTTTTTTATTTGGAAAACTAAAACCAAATATATTGAAAATAAGAAATAATATTTTATTCCTCATTTCAAATAAACAACCAGTAATTGACCCCATAGGATGACTTGCATTCATTATGCCGAATTTAGTGTTAGAATTTTATAGAAAATTAAATTATCAACAAACACTTCCAAAATCTAATTGTATTGTTTGTGAAATATAAGCATTCGAAGTCAGATTAAACATGGGGATAACTTTCAAAACTATTTAATTCTCTACAAGTGCACCTACTAAGTTTGGAATCTCCAACTGTCTGCAAGTTAAACAACTCAGTATTAGGTATTTTATTTTTTGTACGTCGGCAATGCTATAAATAGATAATACCTTTTGTGGCTGTAATATTAAAATAACTTGTTGGAAGCATTTTTGGTATGGGATAAAGAGAGCTTTTTGTAATATATTTTCTAATACTGTGAGCAAAGTGATGTTAATCGATTGAGAACGTTTCGCTTCATCTGAGCTAAAAGGCCTGTTCGGATGATGAACTTGAAAGAGTAAATTGAAAAAGAAGTCACAAAATGGAAATTGATGATCCAAGTTTTTTACAAGACGGCTTATTATATTTAGAATGCGTAGAATACATTTCGTCGTTGTGTTAAATGATTCGCATAACAAACTCACAAAGGAAACCGTCCGTAATTAAAATTGATAATAATAATTCATAATTTTATTCTATACACTAAAGACAACAATCATTGCCATTTCTTGTAACACTTACCTGAGAATATTTAGCTAGTTCAATCCACTCTCTTTGGCAATAATTCATCCTTAATTGCAAAAACTTAATTAATAATTAGCAGATTGCCTATGCGCCCGACAATAGTATTATCAACTAATGTTTCGTTTGTTGTTAAGAACAAACAGTTGATCGTAACACAGTGCCGTTTATGAGACATTAAAAATTAAATAACTTGAACACGTATTGAAATTAATATTACTTATCCTTTGTTTTAGCTTAAGATCAATCCCCAGAGTGCCATACTTTTTACCTTCGACTTCTTCATAGTAACATTAAATGTAAGTGCTTTTGTTGTTACAAACACATCAACCAATATAAACATTTTGCTGAGCATCAAAGTTAAACAATCCTTTTTATGTCTATCGTTCTAAAATTTCAATTAATTAGTTGCGGAAGTGTTGAATATGTAAGCAGGAAAACCATAAACAAAGGCTCTCTGTTTTCCTTTTATAATAAAATCCTAAATAAAGGACTTAAGATATTCAACGTCAATTCGTAAATTCAATAAACGAGTCCCGACATCTCATTTAACAACTTGCCAAGGAATCCAATTTCACATCTCTACTCGGAAACTCGAATTTAAAACTTGTGGCGGACGTTCAGAACAACGATCGACTTTTACGACAGCAAAATAACTTGTTTTACCAAATATCTAAATCACTCTGAAGCCATTACCTTTATTCTTATTTGCGTACCCGGAAATGTCTGTTTATTATGTATATTAAATAGGTAATAGCAAATTTCAAATTAGTGTTTCATCATTTTAGGTACGAAATTATTTTTCTTAAAGGTCCGTTCTCTTCGACATTGTTAATATAAAAAATAGGGGTAACAGAAATTGACTTACCCAATTTTCTCAGGTATACGCTCTTCTGTGTGTGATATCCCAGTACCAGGAGCTGAAGTGCGGCCGAGGTCGAGCCTGCGATGATGCGGATGTAAGGGTGAGTTTGTATCCATATCCTGTAACCACGTTTCCTCGTCTGTAACAATACAAAATCCCATCTCACTTCTCTATCTCATTTATTCCATGTGTTCTAATAATAGACCCTCCATCGTTCCTTTTTTATTTACCATTTTTGCGAACAGGAAATAAACATTTCGAAGAAGACATGTGAATAAGATGAACGAATGAAATGTACTTATAGACATAGAATAAATAAAACAATGAAGACGCTAAGCGATGATGAGCGAAAAGTAGTGAAACTTTCATTCTTTTTCTTTGCTTAGAATGTCGACTAAAATCAAATGATAACGATTCTTACAAAAAAAACAAATAATTTTTGATGGAATATTGTATCGGTCCATTTCGACCATTTCCTTTTTTTATACCAAAATAATAAAAACCCTACCTAACCGTTGCTTACTATTAAAAGCACGTTGATTAAAAAAATATTACGACTAGACGGTTATTAACGACTAGGTACATTCCTTGCTTTCTCTGTGAGACTGCTCTAAAGGATCTGTATTGATAAGGACCGTAATGGACGAAGGACAAACCTAATTGGCGAAGTTTTCCCGAGAGGGATGTAGGACGTAATTTTAATTCGATAATAACCTGAAAAGATCCAAAATTGAAATAGGGCCACTATCGGGGTTCATTTTGTATATTTCAATGCTTTGGTAATCATCTAGAAGGGAAGGATTATCGGCGCTTCTAATTAAATTTAAACAGCTAGAGTATATTTCGTGGTTATTATTAAATATGTATGTGGGAAACGCTACACTAAATTTTCCAATTCTATTAAATCTAAAATCAGGTAAATGTTCCTTAAATCTAACTTTATTTGCACTAGGACTCTGACCTATATATTGTTTGTCGCAATTTTTTACATTTGATACTGTCTTGTACGTCTAAGACCCCTAATGCTCTCACGACTACAAATAATTCAGTAAGGAGAAACATGTATCGGACCTTTCTTGCAGCAAAATTTCCCCTAAATATGATTGATAGTACCTACCTAACTGTTTCTAACGTCCTGGTGCTATCCTGATTCCATTTCTGACGCTGAATGTAGTGTACATCTAACATCAGAGGTAGAATGATCTCTGAAGAAGCTCGCTACTCGTGCTAACGAAACGTTAGGAAGCAACTCCCAACCGATGACGAACTTTAGACCCGCACCAGAACAACATCAGTTCACCAACTGGCCGTGAAAGCCTTTACCAATTTGTTTCTAACGTAATTGCAGCGTTTAAGGCTATATTTTCAGAGGTTTTTGAAGTCTTTTGGGCAATATAGTGCCAAACGTAAACCTGACTGGACATAAAAAAGTCAGGATTTCCATTCTGAAATGAAAACAAAGATATTAAAGCAATTTTCAGTTTTCTCGGTGATATTTCCGAACACGTCGTATTTTAACTCCTTGACAACTGGCCTATTAATCGGTATAACTAGAATAATTTTTTTGAGCTCCTTTTTCTGACTGAAGAAATCGAACAAGCTCAGAAGCAATGGCGTAAATAGAGTATAGAGAAGGGCGCACTCGAGGGCGACAGATGTCGTCCATTCCGAGTATTAAATTTTATCACTTTAAATAGTAATTTTTAGAATAGGAATGGGGTGGCGTAGTCAGAGTCCTTCAAATCCTACTTACGCCACTGTTCCGGATAAAATGACCGTGATGTTTCAAGCAAAATTCTTACTTCTGGTCTGTTATCTCAGATTCCGAGCATCCATTTCAGCACCCAGGCAACAGCCACCACTTTCACCGTCTCCAGAAAACCGGCGACATATTTTCACGAAGGTAAAGCAACAACCGTCCACAACAGTTCAACAGCGGCTCCGTCGTCTGTGGGAACTGATGAATCGTCACCTTGCACGAAAGTTCAACGAAAATCGGTGAAATTCGACCAGGCGTCCCAACTCTTGGAGCCGTGGTCGATGGAAACGAAAAATGTATCCCGAGGAATTGATACAGCACCGCTGATCGACTCCAGGAGACCATCACAGCCTAGTGTTTAATACATGCAATGCATTGGAAGAAACTGATTGATAGTGGTTAATTGTTATTTTCAATTAAATGATTCGTTCGTTTGTTTGTTAAGATCTGATCTAATTGAATGCCAAACGGAATTGAATTAATTTTGTATTGTTCGAATGATAAAGCTCACCCAGTCATAAAATTAATTTTTAACACAACACTTTTTCATTGTTCATTAGGCAATTACATCCCTCGATCTTTTTTATGCTTTAAAAATACACAATTTTTTTTAAAGGCGTTCTAATAAAAATTACTAACATTACTGATGATATAATTTTGAATGACCACGTAATTCTATTTGGCATTTTCTCTTTTCCGAAGTTTGCCTTGTTGAATCTCTAGATGGGCCCTTAGAGATCTCAGGGTATGGTCTAAATATTAATGTAGGTATTTAATTTTAAAACTACCAAAGAATCTATAAAATTATTTTTGTCCTAACTGTTAAACTTTGACAAATTTTATAATTACTGTTTAGAATAATCAAATGACTGAAATGTTTATAAATGTACAGTTCATTGTATATGTAATTTACATGTAATTAGTGTACAATGTATTAAATTTAATAATTAATTAATTACTTATGTGATGTGCTAACCAGCAAATTTGTACAGCTGTAAATAAATAGTTAACTGATTGTTTATTACATTGACTTATATTGATTTTGTCAAGTATTATTGATCAACTGAATCCTTAATATTATATTTTAAACTTTCGTAAACATATTTCAGTTAGGTATGTTTGGGAGTACAACACGAGGAAAAGGTGGATACTAATACAGAAATTAATCAATTATTGACTTATTAATGTTGCTGAACAACTGAAAGTTTTTAAAATATTGTAAACAGTAACTTACAAATGTAGAACATTTCTCAACAATCCCTGCATTAGCCTTTTTATTTGAACATTTTACATTCTAAATCATTTAGTAGTAAAAACTTTTAAACAAACTTGATTATTGAGGCAATACAATTATACACATTTCAAAAAATTTTAAGTATTTGTCGCTATTTTTCCTATACCTTGTCTCGAAACTTTTATAGGTATACTGCAAGTTACAAAAAAAAATAAAAAAACTTTATTGATTACATTATATTTGCAATTAAATATTAACAGAATTGATCGATACTAATCAGCTTCGTATTCCAAAAAGCCAGTATTCCCAATATTTCCCTTGATCCATACATCAAACTCCTGCTCTATTTCCTTCGACATAATTTCCTTATAATTTCCTATTTTCCCTGACCTCATAAACACCCCTTGATTATTTGACTCATTTATTTCATTTAAAAACGCCGCTAATGACGAATAATTGACAGACCTATTATTTTTCATATTTTCGAAACTGAGATGATTTACAAGATTTCTAATATCGCTTTCCGACGCTGGTTTTTGCAAAAATCTAGCGACATCCTTAATTACGGACGGAAGATTTTCTTTTAATTTCTCATAACGAAGAATAAGTACATTTGGTTTATTTCTTTGTACCCAAAACCCTAAATTGTGATGCCAAAAAGGCCCGTAAGGAACTGAAATTTAATAACTGATATGTATAGGTAATCACTGGCTAAACAAAATTAGTTTGCATACTAAAACAACAAATTTTTACCTTTTCCTTTTAAAAACAGTCTACTGTAAGTTTCAAAAGTACCAGTAAAGGCATCAAAATCACGACTGAAGTGATAAAAAGAGACACAAACGTCTTTGCAGTTTCTTGTTATGTATATTATCTACAATTAAAATCATACTATGTCATAAAAGAGCAACGTCACGTAACTTAATCTTAAAGAAGCTACAATCAGATGACGAAACGTTCGACAATTGTTAGTAGAATTATTTTGAGCTAATCTGGAATTGTACTCTTTTAAATATCTAAGTATCAGGGAGAGAAATTTTTATCTTAATTTTAATATTTACCTTTGGTTTTTTAATAAATTTCCTTATCTGATTAGGTAAGAGAGCGAAAGGTAAATGTGTTTTGATTAAGCGTGGTCTCTTTAAATTTTTGATATACTCAAACGAATTTGTGCTAAAGGGTTGTCTCTTAAGATTTGGATTTTTACTGAAGGCACTTTTTAAATCGTAGTAGACGTGTAATCTAAAATAATTACAGAAAATCGGATCATTTAAAAACACCTTAATGTGTGGTATACTCAAAATGAGGAAATCGTTCATAGATCGGCCTTTTTGCCTTTTCGTAGTTAAAATTATTTTCGATTAACCAGACCATTTCTTGGGTCCATGTTGTTCCTAAAAATGGAAATTTAATTTTGCCCGCCCTGTTCACGCACTGTTCAAAAAATAAAAACACTGTTTCAATTTCAGCAAATGAATGTCGCAAAGATCTGAATAATTATTTATTTATGCACGTACGGGGCGTTGTCCTTTCAGTCGCCTCTTACGACACGCAAAGACAAAGCGGTAGGGCTATTCTTACCCGGCCCCACACGGGATATTATTTACAATAACTAATTACTCAAAGTTATCAATGCTAAAATCCTTTAGAATTTTCGATTTACCTGATTTAGGAAAACTACAAACCCATACGTCATCATCATACACTTCAAAATTTTCAATTTCATTGCTGTATTCTCCATAGGCTTCGGGGAGGGTAAACCCCTTAACTGTTACGTACCCCTTTCGAGTTTTATTAACAAATTGTGTATCTAAAATTTCGTCTGAAAGTTTCGTAATTTGGAACATTGTGCAAGTGATCGCAAAGTTTTCGAAATATCTCCCCAAACATAAATTTGGAAAATGCCAACTCAAACGTTATTAAATTACCTCAAATGCTGACTTCTGGTAATTTGTTCAACGTTTAAACGTCACGTATTTAAATATTACAGAACATTAACAGTACCAGTCGGTTCATTTCTAATTACAAAAAAGATCTTACATTAATGATAAAGAAAAATACACAGAAATTCCATTAAATTAAAACCGATAAATATTGACGCAATGAAATTGAAAACAAAATTTCAAATATTAAAGAACATGGCTATTTTAGCCTCCATTTTGAAAGCCGCATGAGTACTCTATGAAAATTTCAACCTTGACGCCCATAGAAATGGCGTAACTAACATAACCTTTTAAAAAACCATATGATCGAAACGATTTCAGGTGATTTTGCAAATTTCGTGGCATGCTTATCCGTCTAAATAAATTTGCCAAAATAATCCTGTGTTGGCAAGTAAACAAAATCGTTTAATACAATTTAGTAACAATTTGTCCTTTTTAGGGCTGGACTAACTGCCGGTTCAATTTACACGTTTTATTCGTCAAAGAAAAGCATAGACCACAATCGCTATGAAAACATGAAAATACGAGAACGTATGAGCAACACAAACGTTGGAGAGTACATTCCAAGTTCTCGTAAATTTTAAAATAATCGTTTCATAATATAACCTATAAAATGGCGCAAACGGAGCAACAGAAGCTGCAGCTCATTCAAGAATTAGAAATCGAAATGATGGCCGACATGTACAATCGTTTAACAGCCTCGTGTCATAAAAAGTGTATTCCGCCAGTTTATACTGATGCCGAAATAGCCAAAGGAGAAGCCGTGTGTTTAGACCGCTGTGTAGCTAAATTTTTGGACATTCATGAAAGAATTGGTAAGAAGCTGGGTCAGTTGTCAATGCAAGATGAAGAATTACTGAAGAAAAAATAGTTTATTGTCTAGTGTTTGTAGTAAATTTAGAAGCTTTTTTATTTTGTATGTTATGAATTACAATTAATAGTTTGTTTCAATAAAAAAGATTTTTCTTGTCATTTACAACATAATCTAAATACGCACGTGCGTGACGTAATAGTTACCTTAAAATGGCACAAACCCTGTTGCCCTAATAATTCTCGATTGTAAAATAATTAGCTCTGAGACCAATGTAACTGAAGCTTTTTGTTAAACAATTTAAACATTTTAAACTTAAAATTCATTAAATAGCTTTAAAATTAAATACCACGCCCAAAGGCCCTTCTAAGATTCACAAACAAAATAAATTAACTAAACTATTAATTAATAAGTAAATTTTATTTAAACTGCAAGTACAAACAAATACCTTTTAATGCGTTTTAAAGAAAAAAGGGTACCTAACAAAACATAAAAAAATAACGACTGATACAAAAGACTTACCTTAACTACAGTTGTGTTACCTGCACTTTTAAAAATGTCACATAATAACAACACACATTATCAAAAGTCGTTTTTGCGTTTAATTATCTATTTTATTTTTACAAATAACATCGTAAATAAAATTACCATTCGCAAACAACCGACACGAAAGACATCGTACGTATGACTAATGTAAACCGCATAGATAATGTAAACCGTTATGATACACCTCTCTTCTACTCACATTTAACGTCTTTAGTATTTAATATACATATATGTTTATCTATCTAACTTTTTTTCTTGTAATTTGTCCGAACTATTCTTGACCTGCGATAACAGGCAACTTTTGAAGGAGAAATGTTTAACTAGTCAATGAAAATAGTACATATAACAAAAATTATTCGTTCGATAATTAATTACTTGTAGGTGTATGTGATTCGTAAATGATGTAAACCATAATAAAATACATATAAAAATCGTGCAATAAAAAATATAATAATCATAATTACTTATCAATAGGTATTTCATTTGGAAAAATTATTCTTAAAGAACAGGGCAGAAAATAAAATATAATTTTTTGTAATTATAGCAAAGCATGTTTACACCCCGACCCCGAATATTTACCCTCAAAATAGCAACAAAAAAAACTTCGATACAAACGAAGTTTCTTACGCAATTGAAAAGGAAGAGAGATGTCCACTAACAGGTCCCATTTTTGGTCAACGTTGCCAGACCACAGAAAACTTCCCTAGACCTGGCAAATTTAAAGAGAGCTAAACGAATTGTTAAAGTTTAACTGCACTTTCTTTAAATACTTGTAAATACGTTAAAAGATAAATGTCAAAATCAAAAATTAATAACTTACCGTTACCCAAGAAGACTATAAGGGGTGCCCTAAAGGGAGAGGCTACATAAAACGCTGAAGGCACTTTTATTGATTTATTCTAAATAATAGTACTGTTATTTCTGTATAAATACATTTAACAATTTGTAGGTCATTAAACCATGTTCATTATGTATAACTCGCTAAGAAAAAATCTCTATAAAGTATTCAAATAAATTATTTCCTATAAATGCAAAACATAAGAAATGCCTAACAGTACAAAAGCGGTTATACAAAAGCACGAGATTTACGAGGGGGGGGGGTTCTTTGAGGGGGATGGAGGTAAACCACCGGGAACGGCAGCAGGAGAGGGGGTAGTTTCCCATCGTCGTTATGACGACGGACACTAATTAAAAAATTTATTGGCAACGTCGCCGATGTGCCGCACTGGTTTCGAATACCAAAACGAAAAAAAAGTGAGAGAAATATATATAAACCAAATCTGTACAATTATAGTAACATTAAAAACCTGAATAGAATATAATAAATACAGAAAAAAATAATAATAATGTTATTGTTATTACATTATACTTGCGCGAGAGAAAAAAAATAATAAATTTAAAAAATGCTGTTTCCTGGCAGTTAAAGGCCGATTCATTTTTATTACTATCGAAATTAATTAATATGTACAAANTAAATATAGGCCATCATTCAGGTAACAAGAACATTTATCAAGGTAGGTATTTATTTTGCGAATTCGTTATTACTTTTTATTTATTATATTTATTATCATAATAATAATAATAATCATCATCATCATCATCGTTAGCGACTTATAATAATGAACAGTAATAATACCCTTCACGATATCAAGCGATATATTGCACAAACAGTAGGAGAGTGAGAGGGACAACTGAACAAACGTTTAAAAAAAAATAATAATAATAATAACAGGAAGTCGAAGAAAATCTCCCACTGTAAGCAGACACCTAATGCTTCGCGAATGATAAAAATTCATATTTTTATCACCCATCTATGTACTTAATTTTCGTTCAATTCATCTTCATCATCGTCTTAGTAAAGGTTTTTTTTTTTTTTAATCAATATATATAAGTATGTATAACGTTTAGTAATACCATGTAACAAAAATTGTGTTCGTGTTTCACTGGAAGCACTTTACAAAAATATTCTTGTACAATTTTTTTTTAATCAACGAGTAAAACACGCCCACAATAATAATAATTAACAACAACGGCATCCTCACATATTTCTTTCGTTTTTTTTTTTTTAGTACCATCGTCGTTACTTATGTATGTATCTATGCATAAATTACATGCATTTTTTTTTTAGTATAAAACAAAGACTACTTTAATACAAATGTTTCGACATTACGTCGTGTTTCCACTTTTTTTTTTTTCATTAAATATTTATACAAAGTCGATTGGTGATGGTAATGGTGTTTGTTGTCAATAGCAGTCCAAGTTTCGAACAGTAGTAGTAGTAATAGTAGTAGTAGTAGAGCTTTCTCAGTCGGTTATGTTTTCGCATGGACTTTCCTATAAGTAGGAGACATTGTAGGAATTGTTTCGTATAGCTTTATTATTATAGTCATTGTAATATTATTTTGGTTTTGTCTTTGACGAGTCATTTTTCCTGAAACAATAAACTGGACAATAACTTACCTCTATTCTTTCCAAGTCTCCGGCTTGTACGTTCTCTTCTTCGGTTATACTGTTTTGTTCGATAAGGGTCGGTCCGTGCAAGGAGCATTTTTCGTGCAGTTGTTCCCGCGTCCTTTGAAGTTCCTTCCTCAACCTATCTCTCTCTTCTTCCCGCTGCTTTACCACACTCTGTAGAGCAAACGATAACAACATATTGACATACGAAAGAAGAGGACAAAATAAGCAAAAAAAAAAAAAAGAATGGAAAAAATAGATGAAGCGAACGAAATTCAACGAAAGAAAATGAAAAAAAGAACAGCTGAATATGTTAAGCGAAACAATAAACTAATAAAGTGGAATGATACAAACAAATGAAGAGAAAAAAAAATTTCTCAACATCAAAAAACCGAGCTCACCAATAATGTAGTAAGTTGAGAGCTGAGAGTGGTTGCAATTTCTTGTACTTTGATGACAGGCATTGAAGGAACAGGGGGTAGTTTGTGTTCCGCGACCACTGATTCGTTGCTGGCACAAGAAGGGTGTTTTCCTCCCCTAGCCAATATGACATCCGCATCCGTAATATTAAGACTATCGTTGATGGTTGACAAAAGTTGACCAGCTACGAAAATATTTATTTTTAAATGACCCTTAAAATGCACTGTGCACTGAGAAATCAAATAGATACCCTGATAGACAGCTGCCAGGACTAATTCGGAAGGATCGGAGGTATTTTTGTGTGCCTCTTCACTGGCCATGTCCGCTATTACAGAATACGACTCCCTGGGAATGCTCAAAAGGTCTGCTACGAGAGCTTCCTTCTCTTGAAGGGCCTTTTTAACTTCTTCATCTTTACGCTTGATTTGTTCTAAAATATTGCAACAAATGTTTCTACTTCTACTTGCCACACCATTATTGTATTTCATTAAACCTTAGATTAAAATTCATAAAAAAAAATACGGTAAATATCGTTTATAACGCCTATGAAAGGACAGGTGAAAGATCGTTTGGATAATAGGTACTAATATGACCCAAATAAACGAAGGGTTAGGTATCACACATGTCTAAAAACTCTTATTTCTGCTGGGGGCTATAAAATTTTATCTCATAACCCGTTATATCGTTGTAAGAGATGTCGCTATAAACGATGCTTACTGCAATAAGTATTGACTGAAAACTTTGATCGATACGATGTGAATTGGATGCCTCTTCGGACTTAGCGTTTAATTTAAAGTAGCACGCATGTTATAAAAACAACGTAAATTACCAAAAGATTATTTTTTCGAGCAAAGAAGATCTAAAATTTCGCAATAGGCGCGAAAGCGGAGTATAAATACGAAAATTCCGCTCATTTTTTCTCGCTAAAAGTAGTCGAAAATGTTTAGAATAAAATAAAAATAGCAACTTTGCTATTAAAGGCACAAATAAATAATTACGTCCAACACTTGTAAAAAAGCTTTTACAATAACAGAATTTCACACAAACCTTCCAACTTTTTTTTAATTGCAATTCCACTAACTTTCTTACAATACATCGATCGGTAACTGCATTCCGAACATAATTTAGTTAAAGAGAACAGTGTTCACTGGACCATGGTTAGACTTGTACTGAAGCATTTTTTTAATTTCTTTTTGTCAACACACGAACGTCTACGTGTCTGTTTTTTTTTTTTTTTGGCAAAGTGATGATGGCTTACAATGTAAATATCTGTGTAAGTAATTAAGTTGCCAAAGACAACACAAAAACGTTAACTCGTTTTTTGAAAACATATCAATAAATTTGGGTTAAATGAATAGGAAGGCTTACCGATTGGGGTAAGTACAGGTTCTGCCGTAAGAACTGGAGGGGCTGCAACATGTATTTCAGTGGGCTGAACTAGAGGCCAATCTTCAGCTCTCAATTTCACTGAAGCCCCATTTATAATCGGTGTATCTAACGCACAAAACAAATTCGTTTTTTTTTTTTCTATCATCCCAAAATCCTTTTCAGTTCAGATATAAGGTACACGTTCGATACTTTACCTGTATTTATTACCCCTTCGCTATCAGACTGGCCTTTCTCTTTATCTTCTTCACTCAGTCTACCACCAGCAGCCTCAGGGCTGGACTCGGGTGTATTAAGTCCGTTTAAGGGTTCTGTGGCACATACTTGTTCGGCCCTTTCGGCAACGTCTTTGGTACTGGGTAAATCTTGCACAGTTTCCGACTCGTCGGCATCAGGGGTAGGTTCAGACCTCTTCGACTTACCCTCCCTCTTGTTATACGCCTCCGCGGCGTCTGATATGTGTTTGAACCATCTGCCAAAAAAATACGCACTATTTTCGGATATTTTCGAAAACAACATTACTAAAACTAAAAAAATTGTCAACTATAAAATACATCTGCGTAATATCAGCAGCAATAGTTGTAGTTTTCTTCTTCCAGGTGCAGCATACGAACAGTTCCAAATGACATGTGTTAATTGTCTTATAAATTACGATCAGCTAAATGCCGTCATTAAATTTCTGAATCACTGTATATTTATAGGTGTGCTAATACTAAAACTAGCGTATAACACGTTGCAATTCCAAAACATAGTGCTATATGTTGAACTTGGGTATGACTCAAAAAGCGAAAAAAGTGAAAAACAAAAAACAAGCCAACAACCGGAAAAATGTCACCGGTCATTCTAATGTAGTACCTACTAACTTAAAACCAACGTTATTAATAAAAGATGATTACAGAGAATCATTAAAATTGAAGATTGCATGTAATCCCATGCGCTCTGTCTAAACAATTCTCGTATTTTATTGGGTCTTATTTTAACCGACAACGTCTGAATTATAAACAACTTCACGAATATAATATTAGATGAACAAAGTATTTCATTTAAGTACATTTATTACAGTCGTATTGTCCTTCCTTTGAAAATATAACAGAGACACCGACTGAAACCTTAGCAAAAATTAGACAGACGCCAGACACCCTTTGTGCCCTTTAAAGATCGTTATTATTGCACAACAATAATCTGTCTAGGAATTTCATTAAAATGGCAATAACGAAAGCACAAAAGAAAAAGATCTCTCTCGCGAATTAAGAAGAATTAAATGAGCAAATTACATTTCCATTGTTCTTTGCAGAAAATGTCATAGCCAATTTGAAAATTACCCTTGAACTTAACTGCAAGCTATCACATTTTGTATGAATGTCGTTAGGTCATAATGGTCCAATGTTAAATTGCCAGTTTATGTTTTATTACCTGGTGGCGGAATTCTGTACACTACTGAACATGTTCAACTTAAGTAAAAGCACAACCAAAAGAAAAACGATGGAGAAAGCCAAATCACCGGCGAAAACCATGACACGTGTTTAAAAAAAAAGAAAACACCACTAGAAAAGGCAAGAAACGCCGGAAACAACGTTCGGGAACTGATGGCTTCAATCGAACAAAACGTTTCCGATTGAAATGACCCGGTGCGTGTGCGTATATCTACATATATTATACTCCTCTACCCGTTGGATATTTTTAGTTACAACCATTGCCGTTGTCGTAACACACACTCAATCCAATGTTACGGCGGCCCAATCAAAATATTTTCCCAAGAAAACGGCGATTATTTGAAAAATAGTTTGTTATCCTCCGACTAAGGGGTCCGTCGATCGATTGGGCCAGTAAAGAACGAACGGACTTTGGAAAATAAACTACACACGCCATTCTATCTAAAATATACAGTAATAGAAATGGTTACGACTTATGTTATCTTTCACAATAATAAGTTCGAGTCCTGACTCACCCAGAGAAGCAAAATAGGTTCCTCTTTGGAAAAATCGCTTACAATAACATGGAAATTGTTTCTTAACTATTAACATATCAAAATACAATGTGGAAATCAAAGCAACAGGTTTTTTATTCACTACAAAACCAACAGACCGAAAGCTTTTCAACATAACGTAAAAAAAACGACCATGACAAAGCTCTTACAAAAAATGAACAAATTATATGTCTGCATACAGCGCATTCTCACAACGTTTTAAAAAGCTTTTATAATAACCTTTATGTATACGTAATAAGTGACCAAATGAAGAGCTAGGCATGCAAAACTTCAAAGGAAGTCACATACCAAACAACTGACATAAAACTAAATCCATCTGGAAATGTTTTAACATCACACAGAGATCCAAAATTAAATATATTTTTATTTTTTCCTTATTATGTTTCTGTATTCTGAGTAGCCGAGTTAACCTGATTGACAGGCATCTCATATAATATAACACATAAAATTCTTTATTTTATTAGTTTCCGTTACAAATTTAATTTTGCAGTGTTTCTAGGTGCTTCAATTTAATTTCAGTTATGACAACAATAATAAAATGTTTAGACGATATGAAAATGAAGAGATTTGATCAATAAAAGACACTTTATAGCTTACTAAAATTGAAACTGAATGGGTCCTTTCTTATTTGTTTATTGGTCTGATCTATTATTACCTTTTAAATACTGATAGCTTAACCAAAACGACATACACTTGATACAAAAAAAAAACTAGCACGTGAACATTGGATCATTAAAGTGAATGATGTCACATCAAATTAGTGTAGGCAAATCCTCTTGAAATAAATGAATTAGACAGAAAAGAGATCGTTACGTTAACATAATCCATACGTATAAACTGATATATTAGACTAGAGTAGGAAAGCCTCCCAGAGTTAGTACGATGGGTGGTATCCATAACTATATGCTGCCTATCCCTTGACAAAAAGCCTAGGCTTTTTATTTTTGGTCAAAGATACACACAATATCAATTTTGCAATTCTTACACATATTTTACTGAAAGACAGACTGTACAGGATTTCCACTTTTAATCTTTTAACACGTTTAATAGTTTATTATTATATGTCGATACTACCAAATATTTAGCAGAAAGATGGATTTTTAACGAATATTTTTAAAATCCTAAAATATCCTTTCCTTCGACATTTTAGCCGATTAATTTATTGGAAGGATGTTTTTATAGGATTCGCATTCATCCGGATTTACAGGATACATCTCTATCAAGCTTAAAATTAGTTAAAAATAAGTCCACGAATTTCGTCGCCGTTATTAGAAATAATAAGTCAATAATTAGATCAGCAGGTCGAAAATTAGTTGCGTTTTTCCGCTCGAAAATAGATCAATACCTCGTAAGAAATAGTATGAATGAGTCACTACCGTTGGACTATTAACAATTTTTACTGTATTTTCATTTCCCGTTTGTTCGTCGTAAATAAGAAAACCTTTGTGCGAATACTCTCCAAGTACTATTTGAAATACATATTCTTGTCACGTTAATACACGAAAGCTTTTTTCGTTTGCATTTAAACAAAATTCGTTTAACCCATTAAAAACACGAAAATACGATCTAAACTTAGCGAAGCTTTCGTTTTCTTTATAAAAGTTTAACGATTAAAATTCGAAAGGGATTGCGACAAAGATCAATGCACTGATTTTTATTCGGAATTTTAAATCGAAACTTTTACGAATCTCTTTAGGGGCCCATAACAGTGCATTAACCTGTGTTTAAAGATTAATTCAAATTTGATCTTCATTGTACAGTACAAATTTTGAAATACGTAGGTCCAATATAAAGAAGAAACAAAATAATACATAAATGATTTTTAGTAAATTTGCACGCCATCTGTCAGCAAAATTTGTGTATGTTTATGGTTTTCTATTTTTAAAGGTTTTATTGGCAATTAGGAAGCACAGAAATATGTCCCAATAATAATCCAATATTGACAATACCAAAAAAAAAAATCAAGGCTGAATGCCTCTTCCGAAGTTAATTTTCATTGAATTCTTCAAAGCGAAATGTATTTCTTTAATAAATTTCTCGATACTGCACTGTAGTTTAAATATAGAATTTAATTTTCTTTGAAAAATTTTAATAACTTCTGTTGTGCAATTTAATTTTTACTGCAAATGAAACTATATAACTCTGAATGACAAACACAAACAACTACCTTGCTATAAGACTTCCCCTCCTCTTTTCGTCCTTCTCTAACTTATGTATTTGGGTTGGTAGCACCAAACTACCCCTTCTTTCCAAATTACACACACGTTTCTCCCCTTCTATAGTAAACGATTTTCTTCGTTGTAACATTTTTGTTCGAACAAAAATCAGCACAATTACAATACGACGATCGTTTTAAACAATATCAAATACAAACTTTTTGATTAAATTTGATTGAATGTTCGCAGCACTGATCCGATTGGATTAATTGACGAAACCACGATGTAAAAGTAAGTAGTAGCCGAATTGTATTTTTGATTTTGTAAACCCGGAAGGGAAAAAGCCTCTGATACGGTGAAAACTACAGCCAATCTAAACACCGCTTGCTTC